ACAGGGCTGTAAAGTCACAAAGCTTTATTGCCTTGTCAAACCGTTTGCCGTGCTAACCCTGGCAATTATTTTTAAAGGAAACAATTTAAAAATTTAAGGTTTTTACATTATTACCAGAAAATATTGCTTTACGTAGTGTCAGTGCTGTGAAGATGGATTTTCAGTATCCCTTGTATAAACTTTGCATTATCTATATAATGTTTAGAATTTAAATTATGCAGAATTGGAATTTGGATATGTGAACGCCCAGAAGCACATATTTGCAAATAAACACTTGGAAATGTTCCAAGACTTAAATCATGTATTGAATGCACAGCGGTGTTAGTGTTCCTCCATTATTTACTTAATTTTTTGTGAGCTCTGCCGCTGTATAAGGTGCTTAAGCTTATTTTGAGAGAAGAGGTCCTCTTTTGTATTTCTTCTGATGACTGTCGGATTTCAGTGCTGCAACTATTTGACCTGAGGGAAAAAAAAAAAAAAAAGGGGGGGGGGTGGGTAAGACAAAGTGAAAAGGCAGTGCTTTCAATATTTCTCGTAGTTCCTCAAAGTATATGAAAATGTTCTCTTTCCATTCCTTGCAGACAGGACATTAAACCCACACACTTAAGGGGAGCTTCTGGGTGGTACTCAATTTGCCTGCTCATCTCAGCTTGGTGGGGCTTATCAGTAGTGTCCTTTTCGATACGAAAGTGAAGAACCCCTCCACAAGCACCTTCTTTTGGATGGAGAACTTATTTCTCCTGTCTTTTTCAAAAGATGTGAGTTCTGCTCAGAAATCTTAATGAGACCCCAGATAAGTAGGTATACTTCCATGCAGAAATAGTCCTTCCAATCCTCTAGTCCTCTATCTGGATTGTCCTGAAGTCTGTCTATTGGCAGTCAGCTTGTAGAGGCAAAATTAAAGATTTCCTGAATATAAGCTGACTGCATTCAGGGCTACTAAGTTCCATGTAAAACCTTCGGAAGGAGGTTCTTTTATGTCTATTCAGATAGGAAACAGTGGCCCTATCAGTTACATGTCCTATAATTTGCACAAAGTAGAGGGGATACGATTTGAATAAAGATCTTTGGACTCCAGACCCCATTCTTTAAGCTACTTTGCTATCTGGCCTTCTTAGAAGCTACAGAAAACAAATAAGTTTCAATGTTGTAATAAAGTGACCAAAACAGAAAGCAGAGAGAGAACTGAAGTCAGTAGAGGAATTTCTTTCCATATCTTAAAACTGCTAGATCCCATCTCTGTTGTAGCAGTGAGTGAAGATTTTCAGAGGACTCCGTGAGCCTGTTGTAAAGCAGCCTTAGGAGTTTAAGGGCCTTAGATAATGATCAGCCTTCTGTAGTACGTGAAAATGGATTCCTGGGCTCATGAGTGCAAGGTGGGGAGTGTTTGTTGAATTGTCTTGACGACTGTTAGGATGCTTTAGGTTGCAATTCATCAGAAAACAAATGAGACTTTAAAAAACAAATGGGACATGGGAAGCCACACGGGGTGGCTCAGTTACGCATCCACCTCTTGGTTTCAGCTCAGGCCATGAGAAATGGGACTTTAAAAAAAATTGTCATGTATGTGTTAAGTCTGAAGGTAGGGTATATCAGGGGTGGGTGATGAAGCAGCAACGCCACATCACTAGATACAGATTCTATTCTTCTTATTCTGCCATCCGCAGCATGACAGCTATTATCCCTATGGGTCTCAAGATGACCATTCTGCTCCAAGTGTCACATCTCTAATACACCATTACCAGAGACAGAGAGCACAGCTGCCTGTATCGTGTATTTTTGTTACAGAAAATCTTTCCCAGGGGCACCTGGGTGGCTCAGTTAAGCGTCTGACTTCGGCTCAGGTCATGATCTCACAGTTGGTGGGTTTGAGCCCCGCATCGGGCTCTGTGGTGACAGCTCAGAGCCTGGAGCCTGCTTCCGATTCTGTGTCTCCCTCTCTCTCTGCCCCTCCCCCACTCATGCTGGCTCACTCTCACTCATCCTGTCTCAAAAATATATATATAAATAATAAATAAAAGATGGGAAAATGAGGATGGACTGTAGAAATTTTCTGTAGGAAAGTACGTAACTTTATATTAAAGTCCAGATAATAGTTCCCACAATTTTAGTTGTTGAAAAATACGTTGGAGAGAAGGAAAGACGGAAGGAACGTCAATGTGTTCTGGATATTTCATCTGACATCCTAATATCCTAAGGGGTGTCCTAACTCCTGTTCCCCCTTTTAGTGCATCTGTGGGAGAGGACAAGGGGGCAGTATGCTAAGGTTGGCCATATATTCCTTCCTCTATCTTATCAAATGTCTCCATACAATGCATGTTGTCTGGTGCTGGAATGAGGAATAGTGGGCCAGAGGAAAGAACAGGAGGGAACAGGAAGGTGAACGAGACTCCACGTGAACTTCTGAGCCTCCGTTCTGCACAAAACAGACATGCTCTGCCAAGATCAGTGAACTGTCATGCACTAACACATCATTTTTCCAGGAGATGCAGCTGGAAATCGTAGATGGGAGGGGCTCATGTCCTCTGTTACTGTTCCATGTCATCTGTTGCAAGTACCATAACTGAGTGCTCTTAGGGAGGG